CAAAAGCTGCTTGGAAGGTAAATGTCTGCCGGAGAAAGATGTCCCCTGCATTATGGGGGAATGACTCAGCACAAGAATCCTGATGGCTGCTCTCTGAGCTCTATTTCCCTGCCAGCACCCCTGGATTCTCCTCACACAGCTCTAGTCCACTCTGCCTTCCCTCCACCAGAGCCAAAGGTGAGTGGCTAAACACAAAACATTGTGTGTTAGCCCGTTAAGAGGATGTCAGTGTTTCCAGCTGTCTCTCAGTGATAGAAACCCCAAGGCTTTTCACAGCCATATGTTATGTGGGCACCTATTCCCTGGTGCTCTGGGCTGGGGACCTTGGTGTGGGTTTGAGACCCCACACTCCTCAAGGGAGACCTTTGCAGCTGAGATATCCCTCTGGGTTTTCATCTGCTGCCCATGGGTGCAGGGCCAGCCCTTTCTGCATCTCCACCCTGCTGATCAGTCTTGATGTGGCTTCTCCTGTAAATCCTTGGTTATAAGACTTCCATTCAGCTAGTTTTTAGTTGGTGATTCAGGTTGATTGTTTTATATTTTAGTTGTAAATCAAGTTTGGTCCTGGAAGGAAGTGAGTGTAACTTCCACCTACTTCACCACCATCTTGGATCCTCCTTTAAGATTTTAATGTCTTTTGTAAAGTACTTATTTTGTTCATTTTATTTCTGAGTTAATTAAACTGCCTATCTGTGTTTTCTTATATCTCATTGAACTGCGTTCTTGAATTCTCTGTCATCTAAGTGACATATTTCCATATCTTTAAGTTTATTTTTTGGAGATTTTAAATTTTCGTTTTGAGCTGCTTTGTTACCTTGGCTATTCATGGCATTTGATGAATTCCTTCTCTGTCTAGGCATCTATGTATGAGTGGCATTTCTCTAGTAGATTAATGATTCTTTCTGTTGTTTTCTAGTAGGTGGCACTGAAGCACAAGTTTTTTTAGTTCTCTTGCACTACTCTGGCTTTTTATATCTGCAGGGTGGTAGAAGATATCCTGTGTCTCCAATCACCAACCTTTGGAGGAATGTGGTGGGCAATGAGTTTCCAAATCCGTGAAATTCCAAAACTTTCCTCTGCAGCCAGATGCTGCTGGCAGTGCAGCTTCCTTAGATGGGGGTGGCATAAGCCTAAAAGCTGGCTGGTGCCTTTGTGGCTTTTTTATCCCAGTAATGGTGGCCAGAAGACTTCAGCAGCTTCCCCTCTGTATCTCCACTTGTCCTGGGATTAGCCGCAGAGCACACTTGTCAGGGAAAAAATATTTCTGTAGTTCCAATTCTCAGATTTGCAGATAATGTGCTCTGCAAACCCATACTCACTGCTACAACTTCTTCTGGGGCCTGCTGCTAGCCCTGGGAGGGTAGAAGGGAGTATCAGCAGCAACCTGATTCCTCCTCTGTCCAGAGACCTACAGTGTGCTCTGGCTGTGTCAGTGGCAGTCTCAGCTCTGCTCTTTTTCTTCCTCTTTGCTTTGCTCCCATTCTATCACCGTCAGATGCTTCAATGTGCAGATTTCTCAGACATGTTTGTGTATTAAGCAGGGAATCCTTTGTTGATTTCAGCTGTTCAGATTGTTGCAACTTCAAGGGGAGAGACCAAAGGGACCTCTCATGCCACCATTTTTCTGATGTCACTGTATTGTTTTTTAAATATTGTTGATATCTTAACTTTTTCAACAGATGGCATAAATTTTAATAATCATTTTAATGTGCATTCTCATTTTAATACGTGTGTCAGTTCTAGTTTGATTTCTATTCATTGGTTGATTTTGTCATTATGGGTCATATTTTCCTGCTTCTTCACATTTTGGGGTCTTGGGTATTTCTCTGGGCCTTGAAATACCCTTGAAATTTGTTTTTGGAAGAATTAAGTTACTTCAAAGTGGTTTGATTCTTTTATGTCTGTTTGCTTAGTCCAAGTTAATTGTTCCCCGGTATTATGGCGAGACCCTCCTTTGTAATCTATACACTGCCCTGTGAATCTTAAAATGTTCTAGTCTGGCTGGTGGGAACAGGCAGCCTTCCTGGCCCCAGCTGAGTGCCAAGGACTGTTCCCTCTAATCCTTAAATGGTTCTTTCTCCATCCTCAGGTAGTTTCCTCACATGCATATATTGATCATTTTTTATCTGAATACTCTTGGGGTACCCACTTTAGATGTCCAAGAGTATCTCTGAATGCATCTGTCTCCTCTTCAACATTCTCTCCCTTCACCTCACTAGACTCTCATATTTCTGTCTTCAACTCAAGTAGACTGATGGACTCTGCCTGAGTTACTCTCATCTCTGTGTTGGCTTCGAAACTATTTAGGTGAACTGAGGCACTCATGGGGCCTGTTATTTGCTTTCAAATCTCAGGAATCACCATCTATTTTTGCCTGATGTCTATTATAAATAAATATTTGTTTCTCATGTAATACCATCACACCTTGCATTTTTCAGTTCCTTTGTTTTATGCATTATGTTGATCATAATCCATAATTATTTTTATGTACCTTTACTTTTTTGTATCTTCCTTTACCAAAGCTTCATTAAAGTTAGGACTATGTTTCACTTATTTCTAGATATAGCTCTAACACATAGAACAATGCCTAGTATGCAGTGGGCATTTGGTAAATAGTTTTTGAATGAAGAATGGTCATCCATGCTCTAAATCAATTACTTGGAGTTCATGACTTAATGCATACAGTAGTTAATAGCATTGAAGTGTAAGGTTATATTCAGGTTTCTGGTTTGAACATCTTAGTGAATTGGGGGGGGGGGCATTCACTAACCTAGGGAGTACAGTTAAGGACTATAAATTCAGGACATGATAATAAGCAGAATTTTAGACATACTGAATTTGAAATATTTATAAATATTTAAACTTACGTTTCTGGTAGACATTTGGAGATACAGAGCTATAGCTTTGGAGAGAGGTTATGACTGAAACAGATTATAGTATTATCAGCATCTATAAGGTAATTGAATTTGTTGGAGAAAATTTGATTCCCTAGGGCAGTCATTTTCAACTGGGGATAATTATGTCCCTCGAGAAGATATCTGACAATATCTGGAGATATTTTGGTGGTTATAACCAAGGAAAAGAGAGGTGAGAAGAGAAGTGCTACTGGCATGTACAGAGTAGAAACCAGGGAAGCTCCTAAACACCCTACAAGTTACAGGAGAGCCCTCCAAAACAAAGAGTTATTTAGTACAAAATGTCAATAGTGCTACTGTTGAGATGCCCAGAGTTTGTAGACACACTCTCCTAGTGTTGTCAATTTGCCAAAACTAGGGCTTCCTTCTGAGGTTTCTCCTACATTGCAAAAGAGAACCCATGAACTGCATTTCCCAAAATTTCCTTCTCTGCTTTCCGGTTAGGATTTGCCAATGAGAGGCACCTACAGGTAGTTTAGATTCACCTAAGTAAGCTCTTGGGAACCACAGGATTTCTAATTTCAGACTAAAGTATTAGGAGTTTCCAAGAGACACTTTAGTAGAGTTTTCAGATATGTTCTGTAAAGGACTGGATAAATATGGTAGGGCCATGGGCCACAAAACCATGTCTAGTGATATTCTTTTTTATTATTTTTTAACAAGCCTTTTAAAGTATAAAAAACATTCTTACAAAAACAGCTGTACAAAAACAGATAATGAGCCATATATGAGTTTGCCAACTCCTGCTTAGATAATAAAACTTCTGGGCATGCTCTTATGAATCATCCAACTTCTGGCTGAAATAAGGGCATCAACTTTTCTGATCATTGGTGACAGATTCTGGGAGCTTTTCCAGCTCTTGATACAGTTGAATAAGCCCATAAGTACTACATTACAGTCTTCATACATAAAATATAGAGAGGTCTTCTTTTTATTACCAAATATAGATAGATAGACATACCACTGTGCCTTCACACTTATTTTGACTAATACACAAACTCAATACAACCTGCAAATATTGTTTCTTGTTCAAAATATTATACCTGACGATATAATGTTGATTCTTCTAAGAATAGAGGATATGAGCATTTGTCTTTCATAAGTGATAGTGACAGGTATCAAGTTATTTTTCTTTCATTTCATAGGAATTTGGTGACAAAGTAGCAGTAAATGACCTGTCTTTGAATTTATATAAGGAGCAGATCACTGTTATTCTAGGAGAAAATGGGTCAGGAAAAACCACGATCTTATCTCTTCTCACAGGTATGTATTAACTCTGGCCAGAAGTCGGGTTCCTTCTAAGACTAAATCAATCAACAACTTGTGGTGTTGAGTATGTTATTTCAGTGTTAGTGTTATCACAGTTTCAATTATTTACAACCAAGATGCTTGATGTGCTGTAATAAATTCATTCATTTATTCAATGAAAAATTTTATATGCTAATTTATTTATAAGAATTTATAATACAGAGGTGATTACAAGGCTGTTACACTCAACTTTATAATCTTATGGAAATACAGACAAAAAACTTGAAACTTATACCATATGTAAGAAGGTAGATATTATATGTAGGATGCTATTTACCCAACAGAACGACACCTAACCTGTTTTGGTGATGAGGAATAGGAAAGTGACATCAATCTGAGGCAAATACAAGGTATAAAGGGCTACGAAGGGAAAGAAAGAAGAATATTATAGACGTAAGCAAAGACCAGGAGGCTTAAAAGCAGAGATCATCTGTATAACTAGATCAGATGAGGAATTTCATGGCAAAAGATGAAGCTGGATGAATAATCAAAAGGTCAAATCAGAAAAGGCTTTAGGGAAGCCATGCTATGAAGTCTACAATTTATGCTGAGAGCAGTGAGAAGCTATGGCAGAAAATTTTATGAAGGTTTATACTTTAGAAACATTACATTCACCAGGAAGGAGAATAGATAAGGAACACTAGGGACCATTAGAATAGTGAATTCCGTGTTGTGTGTTAAATTAGTGTAATTCATAGAGGCTGGAGCAGGGCTGAACCTAGTAATTGAGATAAAATAGCTTCTTTTTTGATACAAAAGTAATGGCAAAACTAAGTCAGGAGGGGAAGACAGTATCCACATTCTCTATGTATTTGAACTGACACCCTCTAAATCTTAGTTAAAACTGTTCTTTAAAAAATGACTTCTTGGTTAACATCACAAGGTTATGATTTACCCTCATGATGACATATGAAAAATATATATAGTAGATATGCTTTTCAAAAGTTATCTTGCAACAAACTCCATGCTTTACATATTATATCAGAACACATATTATGCACTTTCTTATCTGCATGTGCTCATACCCTTTCTCTCATTGGGAATGCCTAAATCAACTCTCCACCCATGAAACTCCTATTCATACACCAAGATGCAGCTAAAAAGCAACCATCTAGAGCATAATGGCAGAGGAGGTAGCTCTAACTTCCAGTCCCTTCACAAACAAAACTGATAAACAAGCACAAAAATGTCAGAACCAATTTTGTCAGATCTCTGGAAACAGGAAAAGACTTACAGCAATCAAACAATGCTAAATGAAGAAAAAGGCAACTTAGAAACAGTACCAGGTTAGGGTGACATCAGTGATCCGGTGAACTTGGAACCTCCAGGTCCTCATTCCCTACAAAAACACAAGTTAACAGAAATATACAGACAAAAGTACCTTTTTTTTAAGAACTCTATGTACCAGTTTGGAAGCTACAGTATGCATGTGAATGCATAGCCAATACTAAAAAGGGTAGGAAGTTTGTGGCATTTTCTCACCCTAATCCTTCCCTCACATGACATGGCATGATCAGGAGGAAACTCTCCAATTCAAATTTCCTCCCTTGGAACAGAAAGAAAAGATTGGAACTTACATCCAATGTTCTGGATTTTCTAACTGCTTCCCAAGGGATTGGTTTCTCTCACGTCTAATGGAGCACCAATGGGAGTAGCAGCATGGTATGGATGCCAGGTTTAAATCCACAGAAAAAAGAGGCAACGTCTTAAGCACTTTGAATTGCTTTAGACCAGCAGGAAGTCTGAAAATTTCCACAGGAAGCTGCCAAGGGAGTGTCAGAGTACAGGCAGAGAAATAAAATAGAAACTGACACAAAAAACTCTGAGTTAAAATCTTATTTAATTCCAGCTGTATGTACTGGATGAGTTAAAATCTTATTTAATTCCAGCTGTATGTACTGGAATTAAAACACACACACAACACCAGAGAAGACACATCCCAGAAAAAGTTTGCAAAGTCCTAAAACTTCCAGCTGGGCTGATTGGTGAAGGACTTCACATGCATGAAGCCTGTCCATAAAAACTGGGAGCAGGAGATTCTAAGATGGCAGCAGATTGAGTGTAAGCTACACTGACACTCTCTCAGGACCAAACTGGAATTACAACTAAAATATAGAAAAACTAGCCTGAATAATCAACTGAAGACTAGCTGGAGAGCACCCTCATAACCAAGGACCTAAAGTGACTGGTAGGAAGTGCAGAGGCACAAGAGGGCTGGCTGGACGCCCACAGGCAGCAGCTGAAGGTCCCAAGGGATATCTCAGCTGTGGGGGATTCCCACTGAGAACTCTGGGGTATAAACCTCAAGCTAGGTTTCCCAGCCCAGAGCACTATAACTGAGAAAGGTGACCACATAACATCTGGCAGTGAAAAGCAGCAGGGTTTCTGTCCTCCGAGGGGAGACAGCTGATACTGCAGGCACCCTCTTAAATGCCATTTACATGTGCAACCAGCCACTCACCTTGGGATCCAGCACATACAGGGCAGAGTGGACTAGAGTGGTGTGAGGAAAATCCAGGGTTGCAGGAGCTGCAGATAGAGCTCAGAGGGCAGTCATCTGGATTCCTGTGCTGAGTCATTCCCTCGTATGCAGCAGACATACTTCTCAGGCAGACCTTTGCCAGCCAGGCAGTTTTTGCTGGAATCAATTGCCCCACCCACTGGAAAACCTCTCACCCCACCCTGTGGAGTTTGTGCCATTCTCTGGTCTACAGCCTGAGACTTGGGTCAGTCAGCCTCCAGGTAGGGGTGGACCTCTGGGTGTTTTGAGTTTTTGCCTGATCTGTTTCTGGACCCTGGCCTTGGAAAAACAGACTTTGGTGTGCATCCTGTTCCTGTTCAAATGCACCCAGCCCCAGCAGAGAGAAAAACAAGACTCCCCAGTAGAGGGAACCACAAACCGTGTGTTGTTGATAGCTCCAAACAGGGTACTCAAGGCCAGTCACAAACAGCATCTGACATTGGCCTGCACTTGAGACTCTCCAAAATGACTGAAAGCCCTAGCAGATCTACATAATACATAAGGGGAAAAAATACACACAAAGAGGCAGCCAATATGGGGAGACAAAAGAACAAGCCCAACATGAAAGAACAAGAGAAATCTCCAGAAGGACAGCTAAATGAAATGGAGATAAGCAATCTATCAGATATAGAGTTCGGAATACTCATTGTAAAGATGCTCAAAAGCTTAAGAAAAGAAATTGAGACTATGAAGGAAATTAAGAATGGCATAGCAGAAATAAAGAATACAGTGGAAGGAGTCAACAGCGATTAGAGGAAACTGAGGATCAGATCAGCAAATTAGAAGACAGGGTAGAAAAATCACTCAGAGATCCAAAAAGAAAATACAATTAAAAAACAAGAGGACAGTCTAAGGGAGCTGTGGGACAACATGAAACATAACAATATTTGCATCATAGGAGTGCCAGAGGAGGTTGAAAATAAGAAGGGATAGAGAACCTGTTTGAAGAAATAATGGCAGAAAACTTCCCCAACCTGGTGAAGGAAAAAGTCACAGAAGTTCAGGAGGCACAGAGAGTCCCAAGCAAGAAGAACCCAAAGAGGCCCACTCCCAGACACATCATAATTAAAATGCCAAAAATTCAAGACAAAGAGGGACTCTTAAAGGCAGCAAGAGAAAAGCAGTCTGTTACCTACAAAGGAGCTCCCATAAGGCTGTTGGCTGATTTCTTATCAGAAACTACTTGCCAGAAGGGAATGGAATGAAGTATTCAAGGTAATGCAAAGCAAGGATCTGAAACAAAGACTACTCTATCCAGCAAGGCTATTATTCAATGTAGATGGTGAGGTTCTGCAGCATAGCGGCTGCAGCATGTGTGTCTCGCAGTTGGGATTCCTGGACTGTCCCTACCCCTGGTGAACTTGTTGCACTGGAACTCCCTTCAGATTCAAGGATGAAGGCGAGAAGAAATAAAAAACAAGTCCCAAGCTTTAGGAAGTTGCTAAAAACTAGTAAAGTCAAACTTGAAAACAAGCTAAAAAATAAGCAATTTAAACAACAAAACAATCTCAAGAAGTACCAAAAAGAACAGAGGAAACTAAGGCAAGCTGTAAAAGATGCTGTGTCTAAGAAACCCATTCCACTGGATGACCCAAAGAAAAAACCACCAGGTAAAAGGATTGAGTGGGAAGAAGAGGAAGGCCTTCCTTTAGATATGATGGATGAAGATGACTTACAGTTAATGAGAGATTTAGGACAAAGAGCGTCTTTTCTAACTTGAGATCTTTCTTCTAGTGATCCTGTTCTCGCCAAGAAATGAAAGCATGAAAATGTTATAGATAAATATGAAAAAATACCAAGATCCCTGCAAACTGAACCAGAGAAGGAATTGATTAACTTGCTTCCTATCAAAGATAAGAGTGGTATAATCCCACAGGCCAGGGTATTGACACTAACCAAGACAAAGAGGATCAAGAAGAGATGGAATTTGAGGAAGAGATCATTGAAGAGCTTACTCAAGAGCTGACCATAGAAGAGCATTTAATTGAGAAAAAGAAGAAACTGCAAGAGAAGAAACAGTATATTGCAGCCTTTGCATCTGCCATATTATCAGATCCAGAAAGTAATGTTAAAAAACTGAAATAATTATGTTTCATGCTGATGGAACAGGATCCTGATGTTGCTGTTACTGTTCGAAAGCTGGTGGTCGTTTTTCTGATGGAGTTGTTTAAAGACATTATGCCTTCATATAAAATCCGGCTTCGAACAGAAGCAGAAAAATCTACCAAGATCCACAAAAAAACCCAGAAGTTAAGAGACTTTGAAGAAGGCCTGGTTAGCCAATATAAATTTTATTTGGAAAATCTGGAGCAAATGGTTAAAGACTGGAAGCAAAGGAAGCTGAAGAAAAGTAATATAATTTCATTAAAGGCATACAAGGGCCTGGCAGAAGTGGCGGTGAAGAGCCTGGGTGAGCTGTTGGTGGCTCTGCCTC